GTTTCTCCGAAGAAGGTGGTCAATCAATGTACCTCCAGTCGCCGCCCGCGTGCACGATTTCGTGTTCAATGTTCTTGTCACTTGTTACGTAATGGAATTTCCTGCCTTGTCACTAGGCCCCGTGGTATTTCGTCGTTGACTGGGAACGCGGTGCTTGATGGTTACTTTGCCCGACGTGGTTCGGCGTCTGGCTTTTTAGTGCAACAGGCACACAACATAACTGTAAGTTTACTGCGGAACCACTCGCCTGCGGCTGGTGGTTCCACGGCCACTTTGACAATGTTATGCCGCAATTTATCATCAATAAGAGGACAGACGCATAAAAAAACTGACGTCAATTTGTTTAAGAGACATGTTTCACCTGAAAGAACATTGTTTCTTCATTGAAAATCCGCTTTCGAAAATCATGGGCAGCTCAAAGGAACCGAACATTTTTGAGGTCGCGAAGTATAAATAGTTGTGTCTTGAGCTTTTCAACTGATTCGCTGATTGGCTGATTCTCTAAATTGAAATTTTAAAGTTCGAGCTGAGGAGCTGAATTAACCAGTTGGCTTTCTTGTTAGCTCCCCGTACAAATTAATTTCTTTGTGGACAGCAGTTGAATAAAAACAAAACAAGGGAGCAGAAATTCATTAATTACAGCATGTAACGCGTAAACGTGTTTAGTGTAATAGCGGAGCTCCGGCGGCCCGTAGGGCCGCCAAGCAGAGCCTCATACTCATAAAGGAAAGAAAAGGAAACCCATGAGTTGGTTTTCTCATGGTTATCATGGCTAGCGGTATTACTCGTGGACGCGTACGCACGACGGCGACGACGGAGTCGCTCAACATGGCGGCCATTCTCCAAATAATGGGTTGACAGAGACATGCAGCCTTGGATTACCGTGTACTTCTTTGATATTGGACATCCATCTTATGATGCATCTACACCTGTCAAAACAAGGTATCCGCTGACCAGTGTCACGTGACCATATCGCGGGCTCAAGTTTACTGCTCATCGAGGTCACGTGTTTTTTGAAGTTGA